CGACGCCGGGTTTCCCCGTCGGGACTTGCCTTAGCCCGCTGACGGCCCCCGCTGCGCGGACTCGCCTCGCGAGTTGAAGCTCGATGCGTTGTGGGGCTCCACACACCCGCCTCCCGTTTCTCCTTCGGCCGGGAGAAACAGACTCAAACTCGGCTCGCCCCTCCGTCAAACAAGGACGAGAGCAGAGTTAAGGTTCCCTGGTGGCGGAGAAGAAGCGCGAGGGAGCCCCCTCAGCGACTGAAGTCGCAGCAAACACCCGTAGCTCACTGAACCCCGTGAGTCACGGAATCCCATGTTCTTTTCTGGACTTGCAGACACTGAAACATCATATCACAAGAAGAGCTGTAGCTGGCTAGTGAGAACACGGTCTGGGATTATGTGTGTTTTATTTATTTTTCATATTCCCACATGTAAACAGTTCACACTTTTAAAATCTTCAGGTATGTTTACAAGAGGTTTTGTGGTTAGGGGGGGCGAATTGAACTGCTGCCAGGCCTTGTCCAGCATTGTGTCTGTCTGCCATATCTACAATGTTCTGCTGCCTGTTATACTGTAATCCCTTGATTCTGGGCTGGGCAACCATTCCTTGCTAAAACAGGATGGTGAGTCTTTCAACTTCAGCAGAAAAAACGTTTTGTTTTGTTTTTTTAAGTAGGCGGCTTCACAGCTGTAGTAAAATGCTGATCAATTAACAAGTAGAATATAAATCAGGAGTCCTGGTAGCACCTTCTCCAACTAACAAATTTTATTAAAAGGCATAATCTTCCGTGAGCTGCAGCTCACTTCATCATTTCAGCGCATGAAAAATGAATGCCTTTTTTAAAAAAAATGTTAGTTGGAAAATCAGATTCCTGATTTTTTGCTACCATACACAGCTCTCCCACAAATACAATATGGTGTTTGATGCTGCCCTCTTATGGTATCTGGCTCATCTAAAAGATTCCTAATCCAGTTTACTTTTAATCCAATAACCCATGTATCAACTATGGTATACAGTGTGGGTACTTGTATGATGTTATGGTCTAAACCAGAAATTCAAGCCCTCCAGATACGTTGAGCTGTAATTCGCATCATGAGGAAACTTACCTGGAGCAATTTCAGTATTACATACATACAGGAGTATGTAATTAATTTATTTTCTCAAAAAAGCAGGCACCCAACTGAGTGTGTATGGATGTACACAAACACACACAATTGGGTGCCTGTTACTTTTTCGAGCCAACTCTTGCCTTGCCATTTTCTAGCTGAAAAATAATGATTTCACTACTTTTCTTGCTTGCTGTTGAGGACAGGTAATCTCTTAAACTTCAAATCAGTCTTAGTGGCAGCATTAGGAATATCTCAAGAGGATCATAACACTACTGTTGTCAGTGGTTTAGGGCTCAAGGCATTAAGTGCTAGTATTTGCAAGTTTGATTTGAACTTCAGCTACAGGAAAGAATTCATTCATTCATTCTAATCCATGGACACCCAGAGCATCCTATAAAACCCTCATTTTTAAGAGGATTTTAAACAATAGATCAAAATAAAGTAACAACATGAAACAAATTACACTTGCAATAAACTTGCACCAAAGACACATCAATTCATACTAATAGCAGGAGGCTTCCCTTTTCCTAAAAATTCCCTTCCTCAAGCCCTTTGCAATAGCCAGATTTTAAGGGTTCCTGGAATGCTAACAGGGAAGGGGGCTGTGTGTGTGTGTGTGCGCGTGCATGTGTATTTAGCCATCAAAGGGTGTACCATAACAGTGTTAAGCCTTAGCAAAACTTCACACATTTATTGTTCCTTTACCCCAACACTCAAATGTTCTGCTACAATAGGAAGCATGCCCTTAGAGCTCCCTTCTCCAAATTGTAGTCCCTGACAAGAATATCTTCCTTAGTGTTGTCTGAACCACGCCAGTTAAAGCTTATGTAACAAACTATGATTAAGCAAAACATAGCTTGGTAGAAATGTATGGAGCCAAGCAGTAACTCCTATGGAAAGCAGAAGAGCAGCTAAGCTAAAAGATATCTCTTACAGCTAGAAATAAAATGGAGGCAAGTACAAGAGTAGAGTTTATGTTTTAATTAAAATTTGCTCAGTTTAGAAGTTTGGGGAACACTGAGGAAGAGCGTACTTTAACCATAGTCAATTGTAGTGATCTGTTGTCTTACAAGACTCTGGTGTCATGCTTTGTGGCAAAAAGGCACAATTCTCCAGTCTGGGGAAGACTCTGGAGATCATCAAAGGTGGCAGTTCTCACAGATGCAGAATTTCTCCTTAATGGCGGTATTTACTCTTCAGTTAGCATCACTTTTTCATTTGGATACCATAAAGGAGCTCCAATTACACACTGAAGGCAGGGGTGGTATAGACAGCAATGGTTGGGCACCCAAATCGGGATGAAACACCAAAAACAGCTGGTTTGTAGGCTGCATGGCTACAAAGCTAAGCTAGTGTGGGAATCTTTTGCCATAAAAAATAATGATCCGTTTGACTGAAAAATTATCATGAATATGTCACGTCTCACTGTGTAACTGTCAAGAGCGTTGGCAATAGAGCTGCACTCCTGGCTATAACCAAACTTGAAGAATCACAATCTGGATGGAAACAGGCAAGGAGCACTACAAGGAATGACTCAAATGATTTATTGGAACCATCCCGTGTGCAAGTGGTTTCCTTTATATTGTGGGCAAGTACTTGGCAATCAACGCTGTCTGATATTACAGCCTTTTCAGAACAAACATATTACATTGCAGGCGAAGTGTGCAGCAAAATGCTGGCCCAAGCCTGAGTTGTGCACTCCTTGCCAACGTTTGGTCTTGGATCTAAATCAAAAGTTTACATATATTAGCAGAACTGTTTTTCCTGTTCTGGACAAGTCAGTCCCATATTGTGAAGTTAAAATTGAGGGCTAAAGCTACAAAGGGTCAAGAACCAAGAATTTTTATTTGTACACTGAAACAAGGCATCAGTAATACACATCACAAGAAAAGTGAGATTTAGGTATTCTATGTTGCAGTGGAAAATACACATTTAACAGTATTTAAAACAATAGTCTTAATCATTAATACAGCTGAGGCACATATCTTGCACAAATCAAATTTATTACATTCCAGTCAATTACTAAGATTGAAACTGGATGTTTACTTGCTTGTAGCCTTCATACTAAAATAGCCATCACTCTGTTCATATTTTATAGATTTTGAAAGCTCAGCTCTTACTATACCACATATTAGGACAACATCTCCACATGGGATAATGGTATTGAGAAAACATAGTAATATACAGTAACAGTTTTCTTCTCCTTGATTCTATCTTGATATTAGCAATTGTGGGAACTCAAAAGGTATGTATAATGTTCAGGGGATGGAAGAGGATGAAATCTCAACAAGCTTTATGGGTTCATGAGATCCAAAGGAAGCTGGTGGAGAAGAGGGAGAGAAGTTTTGCCATGGTCACTCTTTGAACTTCCACTCCTGTCGGCACATTGGACAGTGCTGTTGAACTTGTTGAGAATTAAGCCACTTCAGTATGCAGTGCATGTGGAAACAGTGTGAACACTGTCCCCACACAAGAGGACAATCATCTCCAGGCACCTTACCTGCAAAACACAAGTGTTAATAGGGCAAAGTCAGAGGAATATGCAGTTCAAGAAGACTATCACAGGACGAAAAGATTAATACTTACAGTCTGGGCAGCATCCATTAAAAGCCATTCGACAAATGCCACAGTTCTCATCATTAGCAACCCAGAGCCAAGAGGCAACTCCATGCCAGCTCTTGATTTTCACCTTCATTGTATCCAGACTACTACAGTCAGAATAGTATCTGAGGGGGAGGGAAAAAAATAAGAGGTTAATTGCAACTTTTTTTTTTGCTGCTCTTTCTACAGTTCCTTCAAGTATGCAAATTTGTTATTCAGAATTGCATATTCTTTACAGAGCTTTATAATTCTTCAGAGGTTCTGTGCCATTACTTTTACTAAGTCATCCACTGTATTTATGATTAAAAGGTGGCATAAAGAAGATGTGGATAAGTTCTCACTTGGCAGAAGTCCCTGGGACAATTCTTAGATTCCATAAAACTCCAACATCTCTTTTAAGGAAGACCTCTTTTAGAGATAGAGAAAAAAAACTTAAAAGTTGCCAAATAAGATGTAAGTGAAGCTTATATTGGGGAAAGAATTAAAATAGGAAATCTATCTCAACTGATACATATAATTTTTTTAAAAATCATTTTTTAAAAAATCATGTACAGCAGAGATGGCTGTATACAGTAATCACTCTTTTACCATAACGTCCTAAACTACTAAGTTTTATTTTTATGTAAAACATTACAGCAAAGTGGAGTCCTTGGGGTTCTCTGAGCTTGGTTGTTTTCTTGCAGATATTTAGTTACCCAGCTAGGTAACATCTTCAGTGCTAGATGAGAGTGGGGTTTGCTCTGTTTACTATTCAGTAACTTGCCCTGTTAGTGTTGGTGGGGGTGTTTTCTCCTTGGTAGTTCCTTGATTAGGCTATTGTTAACTGCTTGATTGGATATCAGGTGTTAATCTCCACTTATCTAGGTGTTAATTGCTAATGAGGTGGTCTTCTGGTCTTGTCTTTTAAATAGTGTGTAGATGTTTATCTCTATGTGTCTGTTGATGGCTGACTTGTCTGAATACCAAGCTTTCAGGAATTCCCTTGTGTTTTGGGAAACTATAGTTGTGTCCATATGTTGTGAGATTAAGGAGTTTTCATCATGTCTTCTGACTGCTAGTCAGTGTTCATGGATGTGCTCTGCTAACTTTCTGCCTGTCTGTCCTACATAGTGGCTATTACAGTCCTTACACTGTATGTTGTAGATGACTCGTTTTTTCTTGGGCTACTTTTGGTTTACTTAAGATGTTTTGAAGGACTTTAGTTGGTTTGCTTGCTACAGAGATGCCATATGGTTGTAATAGTCTGTTGGTTGTTTCTGAGATGTTTCTGATGTATGGCAGTATTATCCTTTTCATAGCTTGTGTTGATTGTGCTGTAGTAGGTGGAGTGGTCAGGCACTTTTTGATAAAGTTACGTGGATGTCCATTTTGCTGGGAGATGTTATGTAGATGATCTGTTTCCTTTTTCTGCTGTTCTGGGTTGCTGGAGTGCATTTGTATTTGTTTGAATAATGTTCTCACACAGCTCCTCTTGTGGGAGGTTGGATTGTTACTTTGGAAATGGAGTACTTGGTTAGTGTGGGTTGTTTTTCGATTGACCTGAGTTTCTAATTTGCCACAATTTCCTCTGCTGAAGTGGATATCCAGGAAGGGTAGTGTGTTGTTTTCTTCTTCTCTAGTGAATATTACTCCTTTGAAGAATAATATTCTCTTCTATTGATATTACAGCAAAGATCTGCTATGCTATTGGATTCTATTGGCAAATAAGTAGCAACTCCTAGTTAGATATACTCATTAGTTGAAAAGTAACCAAAATTAAAACATTACAAAACCAGGGAACATGTTTTAAATTTAACCTGTTTTCCTTGAAACTGGATGCTTAAGAAAACAGCATCGGAGAATAGAAAATGAAGTTGCTTTAGGTATTAATTACATTCTTAAAAAATTAAGCATTTTAGAAAAGATTATAAACCATGAAACATGAAAAACATATAAGAATAAAAGCGTAAAATATAATAGAATTATTACATTTACTAAAATGTAATGGAGGTTAGAGTTTTTCACTATATCCTTGGTTAATTATAAAGTTACAACATATATCACTTATTAAAGGACAATCTAAAAGTTGTAATTAAGCTTCAAACTAAAAATACCAGGTTAACACAATATAAACCACTAACTAAAATTATAGGCTAGAACAGATTAGGTCAACACTTAGGAATCTAATTTCTTATAAAATTGAAGTATAAACTCTATAAACTCTGAAACACCCAAGTTTAGGATGTGGTAGAAATCCACAGAGTAAATGATAATCTAAGAAAAGTTCCAGTTTTACTTTTCAAATGAGAGGTTATTTTGGACTTTGAAACATAGCCCCATAACTTAATTAGACATTCTTCAAGGAAAGGATCGAACATCCTTTCCAATAAGAAACATAATATCCTTACTGGTTAGTATAAACAAAGTTAGTTCAGTATACTTTGAAGGAATGTATGGTTTAGTTAAATTTAATAAAAATGTGTCTTGTCACAGAGGGAATTCAACTTTTAAAATTTGTTTTATTCTAATATACACTGCTTTCCAAAATTGTTGAGCTTTACTGCATTGTCCTTAAATATGAAAAAAAACATCCAACTTGCGCATTGCACTTCCAACAGTTTTTAGAAAATTATTAATTTTAGCAATTAAGACTGGAATAACATAGCAATGATAAAACATCTTGTACCAATTTTCTCTGAGTATAATATTTGGAGTAAATTTAATATTTAGCCATTGAAATTCCCATTCTTGCATCTCTGTTACAGTATCCAAATTTGGCATCCATTTAATCATGTAATCTTTGACCTATCTATCTCCAAGTCCTATTTCACTAACAGTTTATAAATTAAGCCCAATGACTGTTCAAAGTTGCATTTTGTAATTTTTGAAGGTATTAAATTCTAATTTGCCTTTCCACCAAAACTGATATGGCAAAAAAGCCTCTGCCTACAGTTTGTAAACCTTAAATTGCAGTAATTATGCAGTATGAAAACTTGAGACATAGCCAAATACGAAAATAATCATATCATTAATACTATTAAAAATTGTTTGATTCTCCAGTACTAACTAGAATACTCAGACAGAAAAACGAGGCAGGTTTTTCGTTAATTACTAGCTTTGTTACAGTAAGCAATTACATTTTTCTTTACTCACTCCAATATGGCAAACTTAAGACCAAGATTTTTAATTAAACCCCACCTTCGGCGGGAGGGGGGGTCATTTTTCCCTTTCTTTTCTCCTATTTAATCAGATGAAACATTCCGGGAAATTCAAAAGTTGGGTAATGTTTCCGTAGCATTGCCTTGCTATTACCTTTGGATTGTTTATAACACTTTATTTCGGCACTAGAAAAAAACAAGGGAGGCAACGGATGAACAAGTAAATGCAGTTTTGCAAGCGGGTTGAATACCGGCGGATTGAGTTCACTGAAAGAAGGGTCGCAAAGTGCAAACACTTCATACTAGCTGAGCTCGCACAACACGCTAATCCCTGGTTTATCTAATTAAGTTGCAAATTTACAAACGTAAGGCTAACACGTGACTAGGGAGTTAGTGATTCAGGAGCCCCTGCGAATACCACCTACATTTCTTTCCCCCCCCCCAAAACTAGCCTCCAGCTACAAGAGAGCTCCACCCCCAGCGCCTCTCCCCAAGCGGCCGCCGCCCAGCCCCTTTACAAGTACTGTTCCCTCCGCACCAACCTTCGCGCCCAAACTCAACTCTTCTCAACAACCACAACGGAGGTCCCGCCCCCACGAACCACCCCCACTTCTATGCAGGCTCAGCTCCTATAAAGCCTTGCCAAGTAAAGGCGGCCTTCGCTTTCTTTCGCGAAACCAAGCTTGCATGTGTCCGCTCTTTCCATCTCTCGTCTCTTGATCCTGCCTTATCCGCTTCCGCTCCCCGGTATAGCGCGGCCGGAAGTGTAGGCCCAGGAGCCGGAGGGAGCCGCCATCATGGGCGACAAAATGGATATGTCTTTGGACGATATTATCAAGCTGAACAGGAGTCAGCGAGGCGGAGGCGGCCGGGCCGGCGGTGGCCGAGGCCGGGGAAGAGGAGCTACGGGTCGAGGTGGCGGAGCTGGGCGAGGCGGAGCCGGGCGCGCAGGTGGAGGCGGCCCCGTCCGGAACAGAGCCGCTCTGTCCCGGGGAGGCGGCAGGAACAGGCCCGCGCCCTACAGCCGGGTAGGAGGCTGAGCATGTGGGCCGTAGGACCTTTTTGTGAGGTCCTTCCGTCGAATAATGGGCATGATCAAGACATAGTTGCGGCGTTTTAAACTTTAACGGGGAAGCAGTATGGACCGAGATTCTCCGGCGTCTTTAGAGAGGGACGCTCTCGGTTGGGATTTGCGGCGTGGTTCGGTACCCGGGTGTATTTAGGGTTAGTTTAGACCATATATTTGGGAAAGAAACAGAAATGAAAAGGTTGACTGAATAGAAAAGACCGGGGGTTGTCTTTGGAGAGGTTGGGTTATACTGATTGGAACTCATTCTCTTTACAGCCAAAACAACTCCCTGAAAAATGGCAACATGATCTGTTTGATAGTGGCTTTGGTCCTGGCGCTGGCGTGGAAACGGGTGGAAAGCTCCTTGTCTCTAATCTGGATTTTGGTGTTTCGGATGCAGACATACAAGTATGTTTTATGTTTGTTCTTAATAAAGGATCCAGGATAGTACGTAAATGGAGTTAACCATGTCACTTGCTATAGTTCTCATTTATTTTTTAACAATACTATGATCATTTTAGTCTTGCAAATTTTTTATGGCAGAGAATCTGATTCCAGTATTGGCCTGTAGCGTTATTAGCCATAATATCCAATGTAAATATATTTTGAAAGTTATAGCATATGATTTTAAAAAAAACACTGGCTTGTTATAAAATGCTTGTGCAATACTATTTTACTGTAAAGCAACTTTCATGTACATTTGAACTTCATGGAAATTTAGTTTCAGGGAGTATGTTTCATCTTTTAAGTGAACCTTTATTTTGGATGACCTATTCATATTGTTGAATACTCTGTTGGTTTGTTCCTGAAATTGGAAAGACTAAAAGGTAACTTGTATCGAATTCAAATGGAGCAACTGTTCTTCATTGAGAAACTATGGATGTGTGCTTACTGCTTCCTCTCTAGACCAAATCCTAGGACACAGAATTCTAGGAGACTGGTGATTAGAATATTGGATGGGGAAGGTTCAGGTTCAAATCCACATTAGACTGTTGAGCTCATAAAGGGACTTTGGTCAGTCACTCTATCTCAGCCCATCCTCACAGAGTTGAAACATCTACAAAACAGGCCTTGTATGTAAGTTACCTTTATCTCCTTTGGAGGAAAGTTGATGTAAATGGAAGAAATCAGTAAATAAATAGTTTGACATGAATACTATGGGCAGTTTTTTAGTGTCTTAAAATTACTAACCTTGCTGGCTAAATATTCACTGATTTATTGGAAGACTTATATTGATTGGGAGGTGATATTATTTCTTAATCTTTAAATATAAATTGAAGTGGAAAAAGGCAACTTTAGTATGAGGACTGTTTTATAGACAAAAGATAAGAGCAAAATGACTTGGTGCAGGGGGATATAGTATCCTCTCTTTTAATCTGATTTATAGATATATTTCTAGGCTGCTCTGGATAATTTTAATAATATATCTGAGGATGGTAACAGGATCTTAATCTTGCCTTTCCACTTTTCCAGGAGCTTTTTGCAGAATTTGGGACACTGAAGAAGGCAGCAGTACACTATGATCGCTCTGGACGTAGTCTAGGTACTGCAGATGTTCATTTTGAGAGGAAAGCAGATGCTTTGAAGGCTATGAAACAATACAATGGCGTTCCCTTGGATGGTATGTATGTACTTGCTAATCACATGGATAAGGGGTGATCTGACATGGTTTTGGTGATAAGCCAACTACATGTATGTAAGGATTCTCCTGAAGTGACAAGGAACTACATTTAGGGCAAGTACATGGAATACGATATAAGGGAGTAGTGGGCTAGTAAAGGAGTGTCCCATGCTTCATTCCCTCTCTGTGTGCCCAGCATAGAAATCAAGATGGCTGCTAGAAGAAGGAGACCTTTCTCTACTCAGCACAGAAATATAGTGATGTGCTTGGGGAAAGAGAGTTCTCCATCTTCCCTGCATGGGTCTTTCCCTGACCATTCCCTATTAGCATTTTTTGGGCTAGGCATCTTTTTTTTCAGTTGTTTTCATGGACATTAATTCTTTTCGTTCTTAGGACGTCCCATGAACATTCAGCTGGTTACATCACAGATAGATACACAGAGGAGACCAATACAGAGGTAGGAAACTTACCTTGATTTTCATTTGTTTAGTTAAGATTGACTGTGCTGTAGCCCACAGTGTTCAGGACTTTGTGTGTGACAGCACCTGTATATTACTACAGAGAATGGTGGGACTCTGCTCTATTACCCATATAGAAAATCTAAAGCTTGAATTTTTAACTTAAAGTGTGGTATAATCATACGTAGGCGGTTCTTGCACAACAATTTGGGATGGCTAAGCATGTTATGTGGACCACAGTAACATTGTTTTAACAAATGAAGCGGGGGGAAGCTTACAACATGATTATTCCTCACTCATAGACTGTTCAATTAGTTTTGTATATATATTTTCATCTTACAGTATACTTGATTTGTTTTTCTTTAAATTAGTTGCCTAACTTTAGAAGAAGAAAAGGGAAAATAAATTTACAAAATAGAATAAACAGACCAAATTTCTAAGTAACTGTTTAGTCATGAATCTCAGTATTAATGCTTTGTTCAAATATAGAAAGGGGTCAGGTTTTTCAGCTCACTGTATATTTGCAGAGAATAAGTTCTATTCTGGTAATACTAACCGTTTTGTGGTTGTAAGAACATGCAATAACCGTTGTTATTTTCCACACCATTGATATTATGCAAGTATTTACTGCCTCTCTGTATCTTTGAATTTTTAACTTCATAATCTAAAACTGTTTATAATTAAGAGTTGTAGACTTACTATTTTATACCCTATTAAATCCTCTATAAGTAGAAGGCAGTTCTGAAACACTCCGAGTTGCAGACCATAACTAGATTTCAGAAATAATTTTAAATGTGTATAATGCCAGTTTGTACCTTTTTCCAAATAATACTTACATTGCAGCTGCTCAAGTAGCCAAAATTGATATCTGATCTTATATTCTTCATATTGCAGCTCTGCTCCCCAATGAAAAGATTTTTCTATTTCCAAATATAGATTCCCTCATACTGTTGATCATGATGAAAAGGGTCAAACCAAAGTAGGCCTATATATTGTGTATCACATCTCTCTGGTACCTAAAATAGAGGGTAGATAAATTCCATATTTTCTAAAGTAATTGTATTCAAAGGCCCTCCAATTTATAAGAGGCATTAGATATGCTGATTCACTTTTATGATTCCTAAATCATGGTCTTTAGTACAGCATACTCTTACATTAGCCTCTAGACTGTGATGTATCTTGCATTTTCTCTTGTGGATAACTAAGTGCCTCTAATTCAGTATTTCTTTTGATGTTAGTGTAAATAGAGGAGGTATGACAAGAAACCGTGGTGGCTCAGGTGGCTTTGGCAGTGGCAACAGACGAGGCAGTCGTGGCAATAGGGGCAGGGGCAGAGGTGCTGGTAGGAGTTCCAAACAGCAACTCTCTGCAGAAGAATTGGATGCACAATTGGATGCTTATAATGCTAGGGTAAGTAATGGTAAATTGAAGAAGGCTGAGGCAGAATGTTGCCCTGATGGCTGAATTGGCATGTACTTGTACAATTCACGTAACTTTGCAGCAATGTTTACGTTGAACAGTTGATTGGCACATATGCTTTCAGTTGCTTGTACATTCCTCCTAGGTATGAAAACCACCCTAGAGGCAGTCCTGACAACACTAGTTAATTACAATTCTAGTTGTATGATCTGATAATGGTTTAGACCCATTTAAATTAACACAGAAGAACATGTGATGAAATATAAAAGAAATTAAGTTCTATAATAGCAATTCTAAATTCTATATACTTTTCATGAATATGTCCAGACATATTTTGCCTTTTTAAATTGCTATTCTGATTGGGTCAGATTTGGTAAACTGCTGCATTTTATGCTACCTTCAAACATTATTTGGAACTAGAATTTTACTGGTGTGTGTGTGCACATGTGTATGCATGCAAGAATGTGTATCCTTGCATACTTATCTGCATGGCCATGGCACTTGTGAAATACATTACAAAATCAAAATCATGGGCTATTAAAAATAAGCAGCCTCAATCAGTTATCCCCATTGTTATAGAATGATGATCCCTGAAAATTAGCATGTATTAAATGGTCAGCAATCCTGTATTTAAATGGAGATAGGTTCAAGTCAGATATTTATGCATACATATATAGGGAAAGAATTCTACATCTTTTTAAATGACTTCTCGGGTGAAAACCTAGAATTTGGGGATTGTGCTCCTCCAACTACTTTAGAGCTGAAATTGAAAAGTATTGTGAAAAAAATCCTTTCCTGGGCCTGAACCTACCTTGAAATACTTCATGGCAAAGTATGTAACAGTGTTTATTAATGCTGAATACAGTAATACCAGATTGATCTTTGCCACTGGAGACTCACCATGCTTAGCCTGTTTCTTTCTTAAATTTTTAACTTAATTGCTAGCAGCCAAGTAATTGTCTTTTCCTTTCTGCCCAGATGGACACCAGTTAAATCTGACGATGCATCACGTGCATGGGAAGGACTGCAGACATCTCATTCCATGCTCCCTAGCGGGAGGGAAAGGGTGTATGGCGGCGGCTACTAATATCAAGAATGGAATTTGTTTTACTTTTATGTTTTGGAATAGGTTTTAAACTCATGTAAAGGTTTCTTTCTTTTTTTTTTTTTTTAATTCTGAAACAGATCTGTTTTGTACTGAGTTATTTTTGGGAAAAATTTTACTGGTTGCCTGTTGGGCCAAGGTGGCTTTTTCACTTTGGCAGTAATAAAATAGAAATGTGTCTAGAGCTGTAAATGTCTGCTTCATGTTGCAGCTGGAGCCTAGCCTTGGGGCTGCAAAAGCAAAGCTGAATAGGGGGAGCAGACTGCCTGCTAGCCCCTAGCTAAATAGTTGGTGCTGATTGTCCTTCCCAAGAGGAGGGATTCTGTTCTCAGGTCTCCCTCCTCCACTCTGCTCCAGAAGGGATTTGTAAACTGTGCATCCCACCATCTTCTATGTGCTGACTCTCCTCCTTTGGTCTGTGCTAAAGCCACCATTGTGACTACTTTTGCAGGGAGGTGATGGTCTCTGGTGAAGTAGTTTGACCTTGGAGGTCATGGGGAGGGAGTAAATTTCTTGTTAAAGTCGTTTTGTATTTAACACTTGATTCCAAAGTTCAGTGCTGGTCCCACCTCAGTATTTTTACTGTAAAATAGTTGCTGTGAAAATTCAGTGACACCAACATGCCAAGTAAAGATTTAGTCTTTCAACTTGTAATTCCCTATTGAATTCTTATTTCAAGTAAATCTAAAGGCATTTGTAATGGTCTATGCTCAAACTTATTATATAATGAATTAAGGCTATTTCTAGATTTTGTGAATTGGTGTGGAATGGAGTAAATGTCACATTAATGTGTCAAGTGAACACTATCATCTTTGATGGGTGGGACATCTAAGGGGATACTGTAGTGGCACTCAAGAGACCTCTCTCTTCTAGCATCCTCAACATTTTCTCTGTTCAAACTAAAAAGCATTAATGTCTGCCTGGTTACTGATGCATTGTCCCTTCAACACCACAACATCCTAATGCTGAAATTAGAATGCATCAGTAATTTGAAAAAGTGGATATAGCAGGATGCCAAAGTTATGCAGGAGTAACAGCCAATTTGGAAGATCCTTGATGGTTATTTAATATTCTGAACAAAAATTACTCTTACATAGCAATCAAACAAGTATATGTAGCTGCTAGATGCTGTCAGGGGAAAATAGTGATACATGACAATTCATTTTTGTATAACTAATCTTCATATACATAACAGTAAATATTTGGGGAAAATGGTCAGATGTAAACACCTCACATTAGCTCTAATTAAGGCATATAAAGATAGAAAGCTTAACTTCATACACTTGAAAGATGAATTAGTGTAGATGAACTAATGACAAAATGCATCCATATAAAATAGAAGTAGCGCTGCCATTTGTACTTAATTTCAACTTAAAGTCCACGTAATGTGAAATTCATAGTTTTGTATACTGAGGCAACATTATGTACTTTTCATAATCATGCAGATACACTACATCAGTACGAAATGCTCACTGTTCTAAATGAGAGCTCTTCTAATGTAATCAAAAGCTATTGAAATTAGCACACAGGCTTGAAACTTAATTACTATGGTATTATAATGCAGAGAGGAACATGTAATCCTCTGGACATTATTGGGCTACAGTTCCCAGCCACATAGCTAATGATGAGAGTTAACAGTTCAGCAGCATCAGAAGCCCACAAGTTTCCCATCTTTGTAAAGAAAACAGCTAATATGAGAGTCCTAGTTCCTGTTTTGAAATTCTATTGGGATTAACCATTGCGTTTAATTCTGTTGATTGGGTATTTTGCTAGGGGAATGAAGAAAGCATAATACTTCAGGAATTCATGATAGGGCATGTACATATATTTAATTCAGAAAAACTATGAAAAAGCTGCCCTTGAATGATCAGATTATACAATATGTTCTATGGTAAAATATGTAACATGCAGAAACTCTGTGGAATAGAGAATTTTGTGAAAAGTGATTTGTATCTAATTGTGATTAAACCCACAATTAGAATGCAACTATAGTATGCTAGAATTTTTCCGACTTTGTTATCAAATTGGCCAAATTGGTGTTAAGTCAGCTATGTGTCAACGTAAATCAAGACAACAACCGTAGTACTCAGTTGCTTTAAGTAGGAATTACAGTATAGCACCAACGCTACAACTATCAACAATATGGTTTTCGGGTTTTCAGGGTAGTCTGCCATAGTGTTTTTCTGTTCAGTTGCTATTACATTATAACTGGTCTTGTGCAATGGTGTTTCGTATCAAACTAAAAACGATAGCAAGATGAGCTAAACCAAAACAGATAATCTGACTACACAACAAATAAACGTCACAGTGGTCCTATACAGGATTACACAGTGGTTCTTTGCCCCTCCCTCTCCTTTAATGCCTAAATCAAGTGCACAGGATTATGGCCTCAATGAATATCAGAGGGGGGGCGCTCGCCATTTACATTGGAATTTGCAAGAGCTGCTGTAGTCTTTGCTTACATTTAGGAAGTAAAGCCTGGAAAGGGATGGACTGCAGCTTTGGGTTAATAGTCTCGACGCCCTCCCCACCCCCGTGAAAGATAACTAGTTTTGTTCAGTCTAATGTGCCGAAGAAAGAACAGCTAAATTGGGTAGCTATCAAGAGCATTAGTTTTGAAGTCCCTGGAGAAATCGTTGGGCAAAGCTTTGCTGCTAGTGCGAAAATGTTCGGCAGGCAAAGCTGGAATCAACTCATAGAAGGCGCGTCGCGACCTCGAGCTCTACCTGCAGACCTCCTGCTCTCTTCCACACAATGGGAGCGCGTGATCGCCCTGCGCATTAGGAACCGAAAGTCCGCCAATACCACCCCAAGATGGCTGCCAGATGAGGAGAGCGACTCTTCCTCGTTTCCCCCACTTTCTCCACCCAAAAGAAGGCGTCACAAGGATGCTCTAGCCGTAGCATGTACTCTCTATGGTCTCTCACACGTTCGGTTCCCTTTCCCCGCCTTTGCTTTGGGAGCCAATGCGGGCCCACTGGAAGGAAGTGATGTCTCAGGAGGAAGGCTGAGAAGAGCAGTGGAAAGAAAGCCCTCGGCTTGCTCACGAAAGGAAGTGACGTTTGATCAGTAACACGGAAGTGTGGGGGTGCGCGCGGGGTAGATCTGGGCGGTGGCGGGCGGCGTTCGTCACCGGTGGCGGCAGAGCAGTAGGATCGCGCAGTGGACGCACGTGCTGGGTAGGTTCCATTTACTTCGGTGGAGGATTGGGCCGAGCCGATGCCTGTGTCCGGTGGGTTTCCCCCCCCCCGGTCGTGTCCCATCGGCCTTCCTGGTTGGCGCCTCCGCAGCTGCCTCTGTCTGCTCGATTTTCCCTGCAGGGCATTCGCACGCTAACTGTAGGCTCGCGCTGTAGATGATCAGTGCCTGCAAGCGCTCAGCAGCCGTGCGAAACATTCCTTGCTTTCGGTTTGCAGAGCGCCGTGACTAGCTGACGCTCCTCTCCGTCTGCTACAGACCTTAGACCCATAACTTTTTCGGAGCATTTTCTCAATTCATCCTCGGTGCTGGGAGCAGTGATAGCTTCTCTCGCAGCACTCCCATGTGCTTGTTACACGCTCGGTATAGGTCATTATCAATTGTAAGGGCGGAGAAATGAGGGAATACCCATATTTATCTCTTCTTAAAGATTATTTTCCCCGAATTTCTTGTTATCGTTGGATAATCTCCATGACGGTATTTGTTCAAAGTGCTTACCCATGATTAGTTGAATTGCGATTTATTCAAGCAGTTCATTTTTCTGGGTTTACTCAGAACTGTCACTTAAGCACATGGATAGGAATTTCACAGCCTGCTGGCCTTAAATGTAATCGGTTAATTTGTAGTTCAGGGTATCATGTGAACACTATTTCTTTATCATAAGTATCTAGTAACCATAGGATACAGAATTCACTATAAATATAGTTAGTTTCATTTCCTGACTCTACTACAGGTGGTCCTTGTTTAGTGACCACAGCTGGGACTGACAACTCAGTCATTAAGTGAAGTGGTTGCTAAGTGAAATTGCAACTGTGCTTAGATCTTACTTCAGCTTTCCTTTGCTTTATAAACCTGTGAAGGTTGTAAATGCAAGGATTGGTCACTGTTATAACTGCGAATGGTCGCTAAATGAGGATTATCTGTACCATTCTGTCCACTGTATTTTCTATCCATCTAATCACTGGAAATGGTGGGGATTCTACTTAAATATGTCTGGAATAGATGCTGGGTTGGGACAACTGCTACAATGTTAGGACAACAATGTTATAGTGGATGATTTGAGTTTATTTAGGGTATGTATGCATTATTTATATAATTTATATGCTGCCATCTGCTACAATTATAAACAGCTCAAAGTAGATAAAGATTTAGCTATAAAGGATTGAATTAAGTTTTCATAGTGCCTCTTGAAAGAAGACTGTTGTCTGAAAACAGGATAAGCTACATGGATCAAGCTTAGTTTGAGCCAGCACATAGTTTCTAAATATCAAGTGAAGGAAGGGGAACTTTGGTATGAACAAAATATATCATCATAGCCAATATATCTCCAAGTTTCTAGAGTTAAAATAAATACATTTCAGAGTGATTGCCAGTCGGACAAATAAACACCCCCTTTTTAAAAAAAAAATTAAGCAGTGGTGTGTGTGATGATTCATATTATTACAGGAACCCTGAAATGCAGTCACTACTTTTACCTATTCTGTTTGTCAGAGGAAATAGATTTACGTTGCCGGACGTGGGATGAATTAGAACTGGGTAATAATTAAATGGTTTTATTATGAGGTATAATTATAATTTTTCAGGCTTCTTTGGAGAGAGAAAAAGGCTTGTGGCAACTTAAAGATCAACAGGTTTTAATTATTAGTTTTATCTGGGCTCAGAGCAGTAATAGTTGTATTGCTCCCTGTTCCATAGCTTTATGCGGATCTCTTATTGAGCTTTTTATCTAGCATCATGAGTAGATTTAGTTAATTCTTCTGGCAAGTTTGGAAGCCTACATTTGCTTGTCTTTCTTTGCTAGGCATCTATTATTTCCATATTGGCATAGTTTACAGATTAAGGAGGAACCTTTTCAGAAAACTGGTTGTAATGTTGGAGTTGACTATTACAGGTTAAGGCTGGGATACTATGCATAAAAAGGGAACTAGAAGTACGTTGCCCACCTATTACTGTTCAGGAAGTTTATCAAAGAGAATGTTTTTTTTAATTATTAAAATTCAGTAAAGAGAAAAACAGAGTAATAAATAATAGCTATTTTGGTATTAGCATTATGATCATTATAGCTTAATTTAATTAATTTAAAACTATTGTCACATATATGTCAGGGTTTTGTTTTTGCCATGAAAATGGGGTCATCTTTTGGCATCAGATTTAATGGCATAGATAAAAATCAAATCACTATAAGGAACATGCAGTCTGTTCTGGTTTCTGGGTTGATCTCAGATGGCAAGTGGGTATTTTTACACATTACCTGCAGTGATGGTGATACTCTGTTGTAACACCCACTAGTAGCAGAGATGATGAATGTGGACGAGGTCCTGTCTCAACAAGCTGCTTGTACAGGTGACTACCGCATGTGAACTCTTTGACAACTTTTTAGGTCTGAAAACAGTGTTTAAAAACTTCCCTGTATAGGAAGTTGGTCCTGGCCTGAATACAAAGCCTCTGAAGGAATGTTTTGCCTTATCCTCATTCTGTGGCAGGAATGAGGATAGACCTGTATGTGCCATTCTTATAGGCCCACAGTAACCATATCCGTCCCTTCTCAGTTAATTTGGATGCTCTCTGGGCCCTTTCAGTGGGCCTGTTCATCTTGTGCTTCCTTTAGAGGAACTAAAATCTGGCCAGTTTTGATGCATGGTGAAACACTGCAGAGGTAAATGTGATAGGGCAGAAGCCTGGCCTTGACTTAACCACTCTTGGTTGAAAAACTTCCTGATAAAAAAAAAATGCTAATGAAGATACGGTGTTACTATTTTGCCATATGTTGTGGAAATACACTAGCTGTAGCTGAGTGATATGTGAATTACAGTGCCTGCAGCCTGGTATAATTTAGTGGATTGCACATAATCATGGTTTAGGTACTCTCAGATAAAGGATTGCATGTAGGCCCAAATACAGTAAGTGCTAACAGCAGTAATAACTACCACTGTGCCAAAATTAGTCTACCTAATTGCCTGATCGTGGTTTTCTTCATCTGCTAGTCTTGTGGCACCCTTCTGTAAGGATCCTTGTCCTTCTAAAAGTATTTCTTCCAGCATTCAGAATGCTGCAAGCACACAACTCTTATTACTACCACTACTACTAGTGGTATGGCCACCCATCTCATCTACTGCTATTTGATTTGTATGGCCACCCATCTCATCTGCGCAACTCTGGGTGGCTCAAAACTTTTAGTCCAGTATTTGCTGACTGAGGACTTCCTGATATTTGCAATTAGGAGCATAGTATTTCCAGTAAAAGTGAAAGCTGCTGAAATGACTTGTTTTTACCCTTGTCAATATTCACTGCAGTGTTTCCTTGGTGAAAAGTTTTATATGCTGTAGCCTAGTAAGCTTGTACTATCAGCTAATGCACAAAGGCTGTAAATGTTAACTGAAGGATGAACGCAGGCTGTAGGTCAGAATTGGTGTGTGGTATGATTAACTGGCCACCAGAAGACAATTTCAGAATATTCAAGCAAAGAAGATCCAGTGCTTAGTGGAATCATTTTGAGCCTTTGTGAAAGTGTTTTTTTCTTCAACACTAAAGGCCAGGAACTTTCTTGCCAAAATATTTTTCATTGTATTCAAAGTGCTATCTAACAGTGATTCCTTGAGCCCTCTAGCTGTTTATTACTTATTTTTATGATACTTAGATAAGTATCTGATATATATAAGATTGATGCATATAAGATTGATATATCCCTACTTTTCACTAATTTCATTTTCCCTCATTTTAGCATAATGCATTATGTCTGAAGCTAACGATATCTCCATTCATTGAGCTGGAACCCAAGTGAATTAATTATTCAACCTTGAGGACCATTTGGCTGCAGATTTTCCTAGTAGCAAAGCCCCCTGTCTTACATCGCTGAATGTTTCCCTTTCAGGGTTATAATCTGATTAAGCCCATTTCTATTTTCTTAGAAGAGAAAGTTCTTGAAAGTTTGCTTCCATTTAGTTTCTCCTTTCTTTTAGAAGTCTCCAAAGAATTGATGTATGTTGCAAGGCTTGAATGAGTAGAAAATCTCTTTAAAAAGCTTGATTAGGGCAAGTTGCAAATAGGATGCTCAGGTTTTCTCCATTCCACAGTCATCACAGTGGATCCTGGGCATTAATAGAGGATAAGAACTAAAGGACTATTTTACACTATCTTTTTGCTCTATAAAAGTGTTTCCAATGAACGAGAGAATCATTCATTGCTGCCCAGAATATAAAGAGCTGCTCATTTAAAACCAAGACACCAGTTTTCAGGGATGCATTGCCTACTTGTGTGCAGGCCAGCTTTCTTATGTGTTTTGCACCTCTTAGCCTACACTTGGAGCTGCCTTAAATCTTTAAATTCAGCTTCAGCTGTGAGATTCCCTTCTCTTCCTTGGGGGTTATATCTTCAATGAATGTATTAATGTGAAAACAGCTCTTCGTTTTTAAGGGTGCACATTTCCAAGTTGGTCTTCTGTAGCTGTATTTAGGACTAGATATGTTTCTGTACCTAAAAAACTGTTATTCTATATTGGTACTAGAAGCATTCTTAGTACTCCTAGAAGCTCTCACAGTCATCATTTTCTGACCTTCCTCCCTCTTCCTGTCCCCTCTGATATTCTAAGGAACACTTGCCAGTCAAATCAGGAAAGAAACACAATATCAGGCAACTTGGCTTGTGCTTT